AATCAGCTTTAATTTTATGCTCTTCTGCAACACGGAGAAGAAAATTCTCAGGAGCAGCAATGCCTTGAAAAAGATAAGGACTGGTTTTTCAGGAGCTGAAACAAATTGTAATTGTTGGGGAAGTGATAGTACGGCTTATGTAAAATGGTGCCCTGTCAGCTTATTTTTATACACGGTGTTTTATGTTTAGCTGGACAGATGTTTGTTATGGTTTACTTTTTGCTGTTAACCACATGCAAGATTGCTTATTTTCTTATGGGTTTGTTTTGAAGAATGTTGTTTTTAAAAATGTTGTTAATGGGGAAGGAAATCTATCGACCTGATATAATAAGTATGTTAACCACTAGATAAGAGGAGGAAGAATATCTTATTTTATTTGAAAATACAATACAGTCAAGGCGCAAGAATTTGGACAGGGAACAAGAGTAACAAACATAAAATGCATTGTAAATAAAAGACAAGGACCAGTAGCACTGGGTGGAATTTGGCTGCTATTGAAGTTGGTGGAAGCTTTGCCATTGACTTCAGTGGGACAGGATTTCACCTGAGGATGTGGCCCCTGCCCCAGGGTGCGCCTTGCTAAGTTATCCAAGTGTGTCATTGCTTCCCAGTGCTCTCAAAGACCTTGGCTCCTGCTGAAACATGGAGGTGCCCAGAGCCTTGGGGTGAAGGCATTTCCTACCCAGGGTCTGAGTGGTCGAGGCTTGCAGCTTGTTGTTTCTCATTGGAGAAACCAAAGCTAAAGCAGGGGTGAGAGCTAGGCGTGTGCAGAAGAAAGCTGATCGCCGTTCATTCAGATCAAGTTTCCTCAATCGGAAGGTGGTTATGTACCATCAGGTCACATTTCTGGAATAATTTATATTGTTTTATGTTACTAGGACTGCATTATACCATGGGAATACTGACTGTACATTCAAAAAATGTCTCATCGTGTCGAGTGGGGTTGGGAGTGGGAGTGAGAGGAACCAGCCCAGAACATGTTTCCTCACTTCAAAGGCAAGGATCGCTGTCTGAAACAGTCAGATCACAGCTGGATCCAACTTCTAAGAAGGGAAAAATAATAATCTCTGCCAAAGTCACCCTTTGATACAGTTGCAAAGATAACAAATGATACAGAGGAAGGGTTTTGGGCAAAGGTGTAATGACCCCCGTACTGCATCCTGCAAAGGAAAAGATTGTTCTCCTGAAAAAAATCCTACTTGTCTTTATTGAAGATCTCTTTGTCAGGCTACAGTGAATATAATTGAAAGTGAAAGGTTGATTTGGTACCTGCTGTTTCAAAAGCAGTGAAAACATGTAAGAGGTGCGTAGGATGGTGATCAGTTGCCTGTGAGATGAACGACAGTTCTGTGTTCAAGGGCCGCAGAACATGGCTGCAGTGTGGGTACCATACCCTGCACGCAGCTCCCTGGCTGTTACCTGCAGCTGTAGGAAGCATTTTATGCATAACAGAGATGCTCAGATTTTGAGAGGCTTTTGGAGCAGGAGCAAGTTGATATCTTGATCTGGAGATGAGCTAGAACAATGTTGTCCACTGGAATTAAGCCAATTGCAGGATGCTGATCTTAATTTCCAGGTCTGTCGTAATTAAATAGCTCCTCTTCTAAACAAATTATCCATAAGAGGCAGTTCTGCTTTATTCTTGATAGCTGTAGTACATCTGTGAATACTTGTAGATATGCCAGAGGGAGCTTCAAAATGAAATAATTTTGAAATAAGTTTCTTGTGGGATACTCGAGTGATACATAAACTTGAAGTAAATCACTAGATTTTTTTATTTTTTTTAAAGAATAAATTGTTCATCACTCTGCCCCCAAAAACCCTGCCAAGTTCATGCCCTGATCCTCCATCCCTGCACTAAAGGGCTGTTTTTCTCCTGGGGCCGTTGCCCCTCTCCAGCCCTGTTGTTGCCAAGGAAGTGATTTCTTATGATGTGTGTGACGGGAGGGCATTGGGTATCAGATACACCTCCATTTTCAATGCAGAGCTAAAACTCCCATTGATTCGGGATCACTAAGTCATGTTTATTTTGCAAGACACCAGATTTAGTTAAGGTAAATGGCTATGTAAGAAATAAAAGGTCTACCATTATTATTAAGTGGCCTGTTTTTGAAGCCAGAAAGTCCTTGAGCCAAATCCTGAAAGAGGCTTAGCATGCACAGCTCCTTGGGTGTCAGTGGTGGTGGAAGGAGGAAGAAGAGTGGCTCTCACCTGCAGGGAACTTTGGTCCACCTCCACCTAAAGGCACTTGCCTAGACAAAGATAATGTCAGACTGCACAGCCTGACCTCTGCCTTTTTCTTTTGTCCACCACAGAGCATGTCCTCCTTGGAGCTTTGTGCACTGTGTGGGGACAGTAGGTCACTTACACTCTGCAAGCAAGCATATTATTAGTGCCATTTAGCAATTACGTTCAGCCCTGTTCCCATTGCGTGAGGATCATAGAAACCCATGTGTTGTTGAAAGAGTGCATATCACAAACCTTTTCCTTCTGCACGTTACATGGTCCAACCCTCCTCCCTCATCTTGCTTTTCCGTGTGAGAAGTGTTCAGCACCTTGTAGGATGAAACCCAGTGTCCTCAGCAAGGTTGATGTCAACTTGGAGGTGCAAATCCCAAGGAATATGAAACATTGCATAAATTGCTGAGATCTGGGGAGGCCTGGACTTGTAGCCTCACCAAGAATTAAATGTCTCAGGAAAATCTCTGAGTTTTCTCCCTATTGTTTGTCCAGCTCAGCCACAGGGGTCCATCCAGGCCTGACCAGGGCTCTGTGCAAAGGGTATGTGAGCCCCGCCCACCTACACTGCGTCTCTGTAGACCTCTCTGGCGCATTGCTCAGCTTCTCCCTGAGCTGGATCATCTCTTTACCTTCTTTCCTTTTTCTGTCTTTATTAATAGCCTCAGCTGGGACTTCCCTGTAGTCTTCTATGCTGCTTCTAACTCTTCTGTTCGGGCCATTGAATGTCTAAACCTTGTCATAAATATTGACTTAGCAAGAAGTAAACTGTTTTTCAGCAGTCCTTTGGCATGTCTTGATGTTTCTGTATACCTCAGAATAAACCCATGTTTGTCCTGAAATCCTGAGTTTGATTCTGAGTCAAACTGGTCTTGCCTTTGACACTGACTTTGGAAAATAAATTCATTAGCACATCTTCTGTGTGTATCTTTCTCACAGTTGGCTGTAGTTTATGACAGGGATTTCTTTGTTTTCATTTGGAGGGGTTTTTTTGTATCTTCTGCAGCATTTTCTTCTTGGTGGATGGCACTGGGATTCTTCCCGTTTCCTGGAGCTCCAGGCTGAATGTAAACCAGAACCACTGCTGAGCAGAGTGGATGAGTTAGCCCTATTGCTGTGGTCTTCATAGGATAGAGGGATCAGTGGGATCTCTGCATCACTCTGATGAGAGTTAGGCAAAACCTAGGACTTGTGTTGTCCTAGAAACCAACAAAATTCCTAGGGAATGCTCCAGTGCTACACTCTTCTTGTCTGTTTAATCCAGTTCAGAGTTCAGAACTGTCCTTTCCTAGACTTGGGGGGGTGGGCAGGTGTCCAGCCAAAAGCAATCCTGGCTGATACAAATTTGTGTAAGGTTCAAGTGGGCTGCATGAACAATCTGACATATGAATGCACTTACTTAAAAACTTAGGTCTGTCTTCATACTGAAGGGAGAAGATAGTTTTCCCTCTGTATGCACTGGGAACTCCCATGGTTAGTGAAATGAGATTTTTCTGATTGGCCTCAAACCTGCCTTTCTCCATTTGTCTAAATCCATGTCTGTTGGGAGCATATTGGTGGGAGACAATTCCTGACACAGTGGGACTTGTAAATCCTCAGCCCTGTTCCTGCAGTTGTAATTACTTTCTCGTAGTTGGGGAGTTAGCATAAAGCCACGAGAAAGGGATTTAAGCCAGGACTTAGGACTGATGTCTTGGAAAAGGGAAGAGGATTTTTGGTTTTGTAGTTGATGTTATGGTGACAAAACTGAAGTACGGATTTAACAGTTTATTAAGTTTCTTAGCATGTATTTTCCCACCTTTTACACTGGGTTTTTTGTGGAGCTGATGAAGTACCAATCTCACTGAATCGTGTTATAAATTGCATTTAGCAATATTTTTGCCTACACATTATTCTCATCATAGTATTGATGTTAATGCGCAATGTGTACTTCTGGAAAGTGTACACCGCAGTCCAGCATTGCATCAAAATAAAAGAACCTTTTCCTTTTCCGTAATAAATGAAGAAACATTTTTAAAGCCTTGTTGCTGAAGCCAGGCCTAATGGTGCGGTGTGGATATTGGGGTTGGGCTCTCAGAGCTACAGGATGCTGTCTAAGATGGAAGATGAGGTTCATCCTTGTAGGCTGTGTCCACACAGTCTGTAAATTTGTAGAGCAAAGCAGTTGTTTCTGAGAATCTGATGTCTGCATAATACATCTGATAGGGGAATTTATCCTGGAGTAGCTCTTCCTGCAGACTGAGCACCCATCAGGTTGGGATATGTTATGTATACCCCTACAACATCCTCAGGTTCAAGTTCATCCCAGTAGTATCTGTTTTGTGCACTTCACAAGCTCTCTGCAGTGTGACCCAAAGTGTGGTAAATGGGGCAACTGGGACATTCACTTTTAAAGTACTCTTATGCCTAGAACAGGAAAACCCCTCTGAAATCTGAAAGGTGGACTTTGCATTTTTGGCTTGCCCACTTGTGTGTTGACTGGGTGGGAGCTAGACTAAAGTGCTGCCTCTCCCCTGGAATCACACAGGCTTTGCAGCATGACTGGGAGCTGGAAGCAGAAAATACTTTGGGTTTGTTTGTTTTAATTGCCTGTGCTAAGTGTAGGTAAAATGGGAAAGGAGACACTTTGCCATGTCAAAAGGTAGAAAGTGGGCAGTTTCATTTGGTGAAATATAACAGTGCCATAGCATTGTACCTGTGCAGCGATGCTGTTTTGGGAGGGTATTCTGAGCTAGATAATGATGGCAGCATCTTTCTTGCAGGCTCAAACACAAAGATGGAGTGTCAGAAAATTACCGATTTTGGAAACCAGCTTCTTCGCCGGAAGAATGTTGACTGCACTCGAGAAGACAGTCGGCTTTCACGGTGCCTCAACACGTTTGACTTGGTGGCTCTGGGTGTAGGCAGCACTTTGGGTGCCGGTGTCTATGTACTGGCTGGAGCTGTGGCACGGGAAAATGCGGGACCTGCCATCGTTATCTCCTTCTTGATTGCTGCCTTGGCTTCAGTGCTGGCCGGACTCTGCTATGGAGAATTCGGTGCTCGAGTTCCTAAGACAGGATCAGCTTATCTCTACAGCTACGTGACTGTGGGCGAGCTGTGGGCCTTCATCACAGGTTGGAATCTAATCCTCTCCTATATTATTGGTAAGTATGGTGGGTGGGCTGTGACACCCTAGATTTAGTTCAGGGTGGCAGCCTGGTTTGTAAGGTCAGCCTGTGCTACTGTTACAAAATAGATGGTTCACTCTTGCACTCAGAGAGGATTTCAGGACTCATCTGTGGAGTGTGTTGTTGCTGGCTCCTGTCAGTCAGCTACGTGAGTGGTGTGCTGCTGGCTGAGGGTTTGTCCTGATGCAGGCTTATTGCTGTTGTGACTTCTGAATCTCATCCCTTTGGCATCCCCTAGCTGCTGCACACTTGCCAGGATGCAAAAGAGTGTTCCCTCTGCTGAGAAAGGAATTGCTGATGGAAAGATGCTTTTATACAGAGCATTTGTACTCACAGCTGATCAAGGATTAATTCTGGTCCCTTTGGGATCTATTTAAAGTATCTGGAGATCAGAGTTTTGCCTTGTGAATGCCTGCAGAATTAAGCTGAGGATGATCTGCAGATTCACAGTCTCTGGAAAGTACAAACCAAATCCCTTCTAAGCCCTTGACTCCCACTAGGAGAGGCCCTGGATGAAGCTCAGAGCATGTGCTATACAACTCAGCTGGTACATTAAAACTAAGCCACACTTTGCTAATTAAGGATTCATGTCTTTTCAAGCACATTCTGGGCAGGCTGCTTGTCATCATGCCTGTAATTAAGTCTGCAACCAACTTGCCAGTTGAGAGTGAAAGCTTACTAGTTGAAGTGAAAACTGATTGTATGCTAAATTATTAAAGGAATGGGCGGTTTTTTTAGTGCATTTTATGGGATATGTAAGTATTACTTTGGAATTTAGTTTCCATGGAATTCACCTTCCCATGGAGGGTAAGATCATATCAAGAACAACATAGTGGCTTAGCAGCTGTTTGTCTGAGGTCATGTTGGCTCTGCTCTGTGTGTTACCTGAAACATTTTCCTCCTTTCCTCCTCCTCTTTTTTTCTTTTTTTTTTTTGTAAAAAAAAAAGAAAAAAAAAGAAAGAAATGAGATGAAAAGCCAGAGTCATTAAACTCATCTCCTTAGGAAATCTGAGTCCTGCTGTTTTTTTGTGAATAATATTCACTGCAAGGAGGGGATAAAAATAATTTTTTTAAAAAGTGAGCATGTAATTTCCTCCAGAATTCTAAAATGGACTCTGCTTAGGCTACATATAGAAAATTTGAACAGACTTCTTGGTGATTTTTCTTCTGTTCCAGAAAGGTAATGATAAATCGTCTCCTTCGTGCTCCTCATCTAATTGGTTTTGGGTCCCTTCCCACCATGATACTGGACGACCAAAATGACTGACATAACTGTGGATGCTGTCCCAAAACCTGATTCTGCAAATGCACGATGAAAAGATTTGCCTACTGAATGTTATATGCTCAGGATCTGGGCTCAGAGTGGTATTTCTGAGACTTTTTTTTTTGCCCTGTCATAATGGCTTTTGAATGACTGCCTCAGTTTTTATTTCAGAGTTGGCTGCTCAGTGTATTGTCACAAGGCAGAAAATTCTGTAAAAAATAAGTAGATACAATCTATTAATGTGTTCAAACACAACTTTTTTGCTTTTATTTCATTCCTGTGTCAAAAATGTGTGTTTGCAAACTGGCTTCCTCATAATTTGTGAGGAAGGGTGGCTAAGGAGGAAAAACAACTGGGGGAGGATATGAGGTATAGAAGGTCGCTGTTTCTTTGTCTTATCCAGCCTTTTTCCCAGTGCTAATTGCCCCTCCTGTGAGCAAGGACAACTCCCAGCAGCTTCAAGGGTGTGGAGGAGAAAGATGTATTGGCAGGCACATGCTGCACTTCAGAGCCAGGGGTTGAGAGAGGCAGAAAGCCAATTTTTTTCTCATTTGTGCTGAGAAAATGCCAAGCAGTGCCACTGAAACTGAGCTTGCATCTCTAAGGGGCTCAGTCTACTTGATGTTTTCATGCTGAAGTTCTCAGGCATCTATTCAGAAAGTATTGTGGGGGTGGAAAAAGAAATCCTGGGGTCCCGGGTTGGGTGGCCAATAGCTTTTAATTAATTGAAGTGACTTGGCTTGGGGGAAGGCTGATGTGAGGTCCTGGAGGTGGGTGATGAGGAAAAAATGGGTGTGTAACTGATCAGTTAAGGTCTAGAGAGAAGGAAGAAGGTGTCCAGGACCAGGATCTGCTGTGACCTTTCTTCTGGGATGATGTGAGTTTGGGGAACCATGCCAGATTGTGGGAGGCATTTCAGGAACTGGAAGCTGGTGGAAGCTGGTAGTATAATGAGTATGATGAGTAACAGCATCCTTGGTGAATGGCTGCTGCTGGGTTTCTGGCACTTGGTGACCTTCTAGCCTGTACCTGTTCCTGCTGTGAGTCTGACACCTGCGCTCAGCAGTTCTCCTGGGGGTGGTGAGCTGCAGGCAGGAACAAGATCAAATCTGGCAAGGTTATGCTGACCCAGTCCTCCTGGGTACAAGTTGAATGTCTTTGCACTGTGCTCTCTTAGAAACAGCAAGAGATTATCCAGGTGTCTGCGATGTTGGAAGAATGTCAGATTCCCCCTGCTCCCTCAAGGCTGTTGGTTACAGAGAGTTCATGGTAAACAGCTGATAACTACATGGAACTGGCATCCAAGCAACTGGCATCTAATATAACACATGCAGGAGCTGGTTGTTCCTGTCCTAGAACATGAAATATTAGAGCTAGGACAAAAAAATTAGCGTTAAAATGGTCTTTTTCCTCAAATAGTGCCAAAGTTAAGCCAAAAAATTGTAATGTGGTATACACTAACTTTTGGAATTTTTCAAGATTAAATTGATGGCAATGATGTCCCACCTCATTAAAGGTGTTCACACTGTGCACTTTGCTGTCTCAGTGAACAGAAGAGTCTCCGAACAGGTCTGTTCTGCAGCTTATTTTTATGCTGTTGCAAAGCTGGATTGGGGCGGTGAGTGTTCCCAGCTGTGCTGCAGGTGCTGCCCGCCGCCGCTGCAGAGGATTTAGCTGTAGGTGAGCACGGACATTGTTTGACATGATTGCAGGTGCCGGAGTTGGGACCTGAACACCCACACACAGGTGAGTGTCTCAGAACAAACTGTTCTGGGTGGAAGGGGGCCCCTGATGGCATCCTCTGAGGAACTGCTCTGCAAACCAAAACCAAGCCAACCTCTTTTTTTAATTAGGTAATTATGTACAGTAGTAATTATATCATGCAATTAGGTGCAGTTATATATAGTGTACTGTATGAGACATGGGGAGTATGATGGTAACTTTAACACAGGAGATGGAGAAATTGGCTTTTACCCAAACCTACTTATTTTACAAAATGCTGTCCCTGTCTGGTGGTAGCTCTTCATTGTTACTATTTCAGTTCTCTGAACTGACTCTTATGGCCCAGACAATGTCCCTAACTTGATTGTCTTAAGACTGCAGATTCACTCCTCATGCCAGCAAGCTGCACGTGGTTGGGTGCTCTCGGAACTGCAGCAAACAGCGAACCCAGAGGGCAAAGTCTGAGCACTTGCTGCAGGCAGGAGTCATGGCACTTGCTGGGATCATCACCAGCATCCTGCAGTAGGCTGACTTATGCTCAGATAACCTGTAAATTGTATCTGAGTCTTTATCTTGCTTGGATGCTCTAGCACTGGAGGTCAGAGCAGACCTGCAAGTCACCAGAGAGCAGAGCATGCAGAGCTGGGCAAGTGGTGTGGTCCAGGCTCTGGTGCTCCAGCACTGCGCTGCTGGAGGGCAGCTGGCTTCTGTGAGGTCCCTCTGCCTGGCCTGCAGTCACCCCACTGGGGCTACCAGGGTCCTCTGCCAGCACAACACTTGGACCTCTCTGGTAACAGAAATTACCAAGTATGGGGGAAAGTGAGGCTGCTGGGGGTGTAAGGAAAAGGTCGGTCTGGGCAGTATCTAAGGCAAAGTTGAGGTTTATGAAGAAGTCAAACTAAAAGGATATTTTTCATCTTGTCAGCTGGGCATCAGTCTGAGAGCCACCACCTGTGTGTGTTACCATCAGAGCAGATGCCAGGCATGAACACAGGCTGTGAGCTGGGTATGCGGAGGAAAGGCTACTCCCAGCACGTGGGAGCACACGTAATGTTGCTTTGAGGCCCTCCATGCCAAAAAGCCTTGCAAGATGCCCCTAGTTTGGAATATGTGCCAGCCACAAAGGGTGATCTCTGTCCTTTCTGTCCTCTGGCAGGAACCTCAAGCGTGGCCAGAGCCTGGAGCGCAACATTTGATGAAATCATAGGGAAGCACATTGAAGAATTTTGTAAAAAGTACATGACGATGGATGCTCCTGGAGTGCTAGCAAAATACCCAGACATCTTTGCCGTGGTGATAATCATCATTCTAACAGGTGAAACACTGGGGGGTTGTGAGTTTTGGACCTCCTTCTCCTGTAATTTCATTGTTTGCTTTTGGAATGAGCACGAAGTCCTGATTTATTTTGGACAACATATTAGAGACTCTTTCTTTCCTACAAGTTTTGGATTGACCTATATAGCTGCTATGGAGTTAGCACAGGACATAGCCTGTTTACAAGATTTTTAATTAGAGGGGAGCATTCTCAATATTTTTGAGCCACTTTCAAAACCTTCAATCAAATTTTATATAAGGAGGAAAAGAAAAGGTGACTTGTTATCCTCAATCAGGTATGGAAGTTTAATCCTTCCCTCCACAAATCCTATTACACAAGAATTTCATACAGTTGGTCTATTAACCTTATTCCCCCTACAATAATCTGCCAGTTTTTGCTGCCTTGAGATAGAAAAGTGAGGAAAAAACCCCACAAACTCAGTTACAGTCTCATATACTACTGTTTTGTTTTTTTAAAAATATATATGGGCTTCAGTTTGCAGAAGTGAATACAAGTCTCCAGAGAAATAAATGTGTAATAAACAGTCAAGATGTCTGTTGTGCCAAGGCTTTGATCATAATTTGGAAAAGTTTTGAAAACTTGTAAGATCAAAATCATTCTGAGTGTTTACTTCTGCTCCAACTGGATCTTGCAAAGCGTTACCAAGTTTAGGCAAATTTGAAAGATTATGCTTCTTACGTACTCCTTTGTGGTTTCCAGAACACAGAAGCTGCAGTGCCACACTGGCAAGGTTATCCTGACGTTTCCCACTGATCAGAATGGCCTTTTCACAGCCTGAGCTGTGCTCGTGAGCACAGGCCTCATAAGCAAGGGATGCTTTGAGATCTGGATTTGCATTTGGATCAAGGGCTGCTGAAGTCAGTAGTAGCCCTTTGTTTTCAGGATTACATTTGAATGGGAGAAAAGATTTTCCTCATTGTTCATTTATATATAATTGCTCTAATTTCAAGTTAGATTCTGGTCTTTCATCTCAGATACAATTTAGAAAATTTAGGACTTCTTACTTTAACAATACCAAGGTGTAAAATTATACAGATTACTGATGGCTTTATGCCTCTGCATGAAGCAAATTCCCTTGATTTTAATAAAAAATGCAAGCCAGTCTTCTCTCAAAAAAGCTGCTGAATGAGCAGCTTTAATCTCAAATATAAGCACCACAAGTTTATTTTTACTTGCACTATCTTGAGCTTCAGAGTTCTACTAGGCACCTTACAAGTTTTCATGGGCAGGTATGCAATCTTTTGAAATGCTTCCCTGATATGGCTGTGTCAGCTTATTTCCTGTCTTAAAAGAAGGAAAGGTGAGTGCGCAGGATGCTCCCCTCTCCTTGAAGTCCTTTGGAGTAGCAGTAAAAGGAAAAAACCGTGTTGTTCTTGTCTTCTCCCTGAAGCCTGTGTGAAGTTTTGTTACCTTCTCCCCTAGCCTTACATTTGGATTAAAGGTTTCAATTCTTAAAAATTGGGCACCTGAAGAGTAAATGCAAGTTATGAGAGCTTGTCGTTCTGAGGAGCCAAGCTATGCCTCAGTGAGATTGTGTTTGCCAAAGCCTGTGACCATGCTCTTCTTCAGATAGATTGTCTTAAGACCAGGCTGAAATCATGCTCTTGCTGAACTCACTGGCAAAGCTCCTGCTGATTTAAATGGGAGCAGAATTCCCAAGATGCCACCTTCTTCTGTGTCTTCAGCACTAGAAATGGCTGCTAAAAGTAGAATCCTCCTGGATTTGGTCCTTGCTCGTATTTCCCCCTGTTTCTAAGGAAAGTTGACTGTTGTTCATAACTTCTGCATTTGGCCAAGAACTCTAAGACAATGTTCCTTCATAAAAAACCACCTGTGGTGCTTTCTCTGTGTCTCTGGGTAGAGTTCCAGGCTGTGTCTAGGTGGCAGAGTGTAGCAGCATGAGGTGACCAGAGCTGGCGTTGAATGTGCTGGAAGTTTAGCTGTGTTAGCAAAGCACTTTACCAGCGGCACGTGCCACATGGGCGTGCTGGGTGGGAAGATGTGTCACGTTCTGCAGTAGTAATGTCTGGGCTGGAGTCCTCATCCTACTTCTGGATGAGTTACACCTGGGCTACTTGGCTTTATGGAGAAATGAGGTGTGGTAAGTTGGGCAGAGCACAGCATGAACAGAGTTGGCTATGTCTGTGAGTCCCCAACGCCTGCTGCTGGTGGCAAAATACCTGACTGCTGTGTTTTCCCCAGGGCTTTTAATATTTGGCGTGAAAGAATCTGCCCTGGTGAACAAAGTGTTCACCTGTATCAACGTCCTTGTCCTTGGCTTCGTCGTGATCTCTGGTTTCGTGAAAGGATCTGTTAAAAACTGGCATCTGACTGAACAGGACATTTACAACACCAGCCACAGCGTTTATGGAGACAAGTAGGTTGGATCTTTTCTTCTTATCTCAGAAGCTGGTGCATTTTCAATAGGAAGTTTGTAGGGGGGGGTTGTGGGGTGAATTAGAAAACCAGTGAATGGGATTGCTGCCTCCTTTGCCAAATACCTTGGAGGCAAAGCTGGCTTTGGTGGGTGCTTGCTGAAAGTGGTCTGTACTGATGGGCTGAAACTGCTAGGAATAGGCTGTGTCAACGTGGGCCCTGCTGCAGAACTGACCGTTTCTAGCCTCGTGACCAATATGACATCCAAATTTGAGAGAAAAGAGCTCTTTAGACAACCTCCTACTCAAGGCTTTGCCAGGCTGGCTCTGGTGCCTGTATGAAGCCATGTCTGAGTATACTGTGTACTTTCTTTGGATGCTTGGGCAATATCCTTGGGGCATTGTTGTACCTCTTGCAGACTTTGTTCCAAATGCCTCAATAAAATGAAGGCAAGTTGCAGATAATTTTAATGCATTGCAGTAAGCATATCACAAATCTGTTTTTAATGACATTTTTCTTCTTGGCCAAAATTCTGTCATCCTATACGAGATTAAAATTAAGGAGCTTACAATTTAGTTAGCTTACTAGTTAGACAAAGCTATTCGTTTTTGCTTGAGACTCTGCAACACAGAATGAGGGCCTTTAAATATCTCCATATACATCAGCTCAGTCCTGGCTTGCTATGTAACCCTTTATGCTGGCCTGCAAGAAGCAAAGTTTGGCACAGTCTGTCAAGATTCATAAATGTTGTGTGAATCAAATTTAGCTTGTGTAAAAACCACTTCTTGAGCCTCTGCAAAACTCAACCTGCTGCAAACAAATTGCTTCTATAGGACAGGTCCCCCCTCCTTTCCTGCTGTTATTCCCATGCAAGGAGCAATTAGTGAAGTAGTTTCAAAGTGTAGCTCTTTGACCTGTAGCATTTCATATTTTTGTAAAATCTGTCTGGGGTTTACTTTACTTTACTTTACTTTATCACTATTTCCAGAGTAATCCATGTTTGGGTTGTGCTGTTTCTGTGGGCCAATTTTCATCTAAGTCTCAACAGAGTTTCTTTGAGAGAGTTCAAATGCTTACACCTGATAAGACTTGCAGATTTGGCATTTGCTTTAGTTTAATTTCCTTAATTCATCCTTACCAAGGCTTTTCACTGAAAAAGGTGACTTAAGTCACTTGAACTGAAGGATATGTTTTGTATTTGTCACTCAACACAGGCGCATGGATCTGGGCTCCCAATCCAGAGTGCACTGGGATCAGCATGCGTCTGTATGTTGACTTAAATTAACTTTGAATAAGGCTCAGCAAAGCATTTGGTGTGTCAGGGATGCAGGCTCCACTTCTCCCTTAGGGCTGCAAGCATGGTTTTAGTATTAGCTTGGCATAAGGAATTTTGAAGTTGAGAATAGAGGATTGGATGGCTTTTAGACAGTCGTGGCACCTTGCATTCCTCTCTTATGTCTACTCACCTACACTTTATCCTGAATTCTTCTTAAGTGAAAAGTGTATGGTTTACATGTTTCTCAGTCTTCAGCTTTTAGAATTACATCTTGTGCTTTTTCAAAAGCTTCTGTTCAAATGAATATATATATCTACACACATACAGTAATATTAGGAGAGAATTTTTAAGATTCATGCAATTTTCTCCTCGTCTTAGCAAGACATTTTTATCCACCCCACAAAATGGGTGGTCGGAACAAACCACAAACCATTTTTATTCTGTGCATTCCCTAGCCTGTTGCAGGCCAGTCCAGAGCTCAGCAGTGGGTAGGGCTTAGCATTTTGCCTGGTATTTGTACGCTAGCATGTGAAAGGGAGAGCCTGTTCCTTCAAACTTCAGCTTTGAATTTTGTTATGAGCTATGTGAATAGCTTTGTTACTCCCACCAGGGCAGGATCACTTCTAATCCAGTGCCATGCCTTTTAGTCAAACACAGGAAGAAAAGCTCTACGGTGTTGGAGGGTTTATGCCTTATGGATGGAATGGAGTCCTCTCAGGGGCAGCCACATGTTTTTATGCTTTTGTGGGATTTGACTGTATTGCTACTACAGGTAAGAGGGAAGATGTTCTTTGTGGTTATGAACCTGGTTGCTGGTAGATTGGCTTTCAGTAATGTTGCAGAGTACAGATAATAGGAAATTCAGGGCACCACATTCGTTGTCTCTCTGAACCTCAGATCAAAGTAGATTTTTGGCTCATCTCCTCCTAACAGTGAAAGTGCTGGGTTTGTCCAAGTCCCTGGGTGCCTGAGTGCTGACTTCTAGCTGCTGTGGCAGGCCAATAGACCGTGTAACCCACAAGCTTCCTCCCTCCTTCTTTGCCTGTAGGGCCCACTCTTGTGGATGGTCACTGATGATCCATCATGTCCAGTTTTATCAGTTAGGCAAACAGGGAAGGCCCAGATTCAGATACTTGGTACGACTGGGGAAGTTTGAGCCTCTAACTCTAACTGATGTTTTAATCAAGAGGTTATTTTAGAATAGGGTTCTTCAGGGCCTTCAGCTGAAAAAGCTCTGATGGCTTGGAGTATTTAAAGAGCCAAAGAAAGAGGAAGCCTCTGAGGAGTCATCTGCACCCTCAGGATCAGGGGGAGTTTTAATCTCTAAAGGTTAGGATACCTCATTTAGAGAGAGAAGCCATCAGCATTGTCGTATTTCTTCTGGCTAAGAAGAATCTCAGTTCCCTGGAGAAAGGAGGTGATCCTTGATTTCGCGTTAGACATGAATTGAGTTGCTTCAAAGTTGGAGCAGAGGAAGAAGGAAATCATGACAAAGACAGATAAAGCAATACTGCTTGTTGTTCCAAGCAAGGAATTTCAGAAGTGCTGGCTCCATTACTCCAGCCAGCCCTAGAGTCTCTCCTTGTAGGAGAAACATGTTCATCTGCCTTTGACTTCTGGGTGTATGGATCTGTGTTTATTAGTTCATTCTCCTGAAATGTTAAACCTCAAGAGCACTTGCTTTCAGAGCAGCTTTTTAGGACAGGGATGGCACAAATCTGTTTCATAATTAATCAGTGCCTGAATTTTGATGAATTTTGGTTTTTTACACATTTATGCCTACTTGGTTGTTGAAAATTTTCCATAAAAACTATGGGGGGGTCCTTTTTTCAGGAGGGATTTTTGAAGACCCCATATGATTTTCAGATTCTCCGCCTTTTCCCGGAACTGGGCACCTATGGTGCCATGTTCATGGTATATTAATTCTGGTGGAGATGCTACTGAAAGGTCATCCAAGGATTTGTCCTACAACTGCACAATAATTTCTTGTTCCATCATTTGTGATCATTGAACTCTTCTTGGGTCTGCACCATCAGTGGGATAGAAGGAGTATACAAGGATAATCTGTTTTGGGGAAAGGACTGTTTTCAATCCAGCCTGTTTCTGTGACTGCATTTACAAGGCTTCCACAAGTGTCTATCAGAAGGATTGACAGGAGCAGCAGAAATGGGAGCAAACAGCTGTGGTAGGCCAAGTGGATGGAGCAGTCTGTTGACAGCATTATGGTCAAAGAGCACCTCAGTGCCCACAAAACCTTTGAAGGCCCCAGCCAGCATGCCCTAGATTGGGATAAAGTTCTTGCTTGTCATGTAGCTGATATTTAAATTTCTTTCTTTTAGGCGAGGAGGTAAAAAACCCTCAGAAGGCCATTCCTATTGGCATCGTGGCATCTCTGCTCATTTGCTTTGTGGCTTATTTTGGTGTGTCGGCTGCCCTGACTCTCATGATGCCTTACTACCAGCTGGATACCAATAGCCCTTTACCCAATGCCTTTAAATATGTGGGTTGGGATGGAGCCAATTATGCAGTGGCTGTCGGTTCCTTGTGTGCCCTTTCTACAAGGTAAGACACTGCTCTTCCTTTTTGCATCTCTCAAGGCAAATCTCCAACTCCTATAAAACATGGAGCAGAGATCAGGCATGAAATTCAGAGCTATTGACTTCAAAAGGACCAGGATTTCACCCTGTGATAGATATCAGAGATGCACGTAACCAGTATCACTTCAGAAATTCCCATCTTAACAGAAGACCCAGCAGGTGCATTTCAGGAATATAAATATGGATTGAGTGACTAAGTCATGGAGGCAACTACGCAGTGGACATCCTGGCATGCTGGATGGAGAGCAGACTTGTGTCAGGTAGTGCAGGGTGCATCTTCAGCAGCATGTGGGGCTTACCATATCCAAGCCATCTGTCTGCAGATTATCTGCAGGACAACCATCTGCATGGGAGGCAGGGCAGGCTGGAGGCAGAATATGTCATCTTCTCCTGCACTCGGGAGGCCCATTTCAGATCAACTTAGACATATTCAATTAGGTGAGCAACTCTAGAGTCTCATAGAAGTTACAGCTCTTTTACTACCTGAAAGTCAGGCTGGTTTCATGCCCCATGGCTAAGTTTAGGCATCTGAAATCAGAGAGCTGCGCCTCGTTTGCCAACTATCAGTAACATGGGTGTTTGAAGGGGGCCCATGAAGGAGAAGCTGAAGTGAGCGAAAGCCACCTGTGTTCATACTGCCATAAACTTGCTTTTGTTTGTGTGCCTGTGCTCAGCAGGAAGTGATATAAGTAGATTATTTCTCCCTCCTATGTCTGTAGTCTCCTTGGCTCCATGTTTCCGATGCCTCGAATAATTTACGCTATGGCAGAAGATGGACTTCTCTTTAAATTCTTGGCTAAAGTTGACGAGAAGAGAAAAACTCCAAGAATTGCAACAATGACATCAGGAGCTGTTGCAGGTAGGATCAAAAGACTTGCATGAATCTGAGGAAAGGAGACATAAGCTCATCCTTGGGGCAGATAAGTCCGCCTGACTCTAGCCCACTTACTAATCGGATCTGTTGCACAGCACGACATCCCAGAGGGTGCCCTGGGTTTCCAGGGCATGCCTTGGAGGGTCTGGGTGAGCATGAGTAGCTTGCTGTGTGCTTGTCCCTCTTTCTTAGAGCTCATTGCTACCATCCTGTCTCATGCCAGGAATTGCCTTTATCTGCTCCCTGGGTGCTCTGCAGGCCTTAAAAATAATTAACTCCCCGCAAGGTGGAAGCCAGTGGTGCCCCAGCGTCCTTGTGGCTGCTGGTCCGGCTTGGCTGAAGACACCTCACCACCTGTGGGTAGCAGGTCTGCGGAAGATGCCAGAGCAGCTGGAGACAGGCAGATGGCCCCTGTGGCACTGGCATTTGTTAATCAGTTAGTCACAGCTGGCAGCCATCCTGTTCTCTTCTTTCTCCTGGCCCCCCAGAAATATCAGAATTAAACCTCCCAAACAGCAAGGATGAGCGGCTTACCCTGTTCTTGCAGCCTCCCCCTTCCTCACAATGCCTAGCAAAGAGGGGAGCCTTGCTGCTTCTTCTTTACCTGCTGCTGCAATGAGCATTCTGCTGGGATGAGCCATTGGTACAAGAATGTGCCACCTTTGGTGGGGAGTTGCTGCCAGACTGCTGCTCTGGGCTCTGAGCTCCTATGAAAGGGCTTAGCTCCTGTTGCTGAGACTCGCAGAGCCTCCTCACAGCTGCTTCTCCCACACCTTTCTCTTCAGGTATTCTTGGGTCCATACTGTGGTGGGATAGGAAAAAGAGCCATATAAAGTATAAAAAAGTGCTTTGCAGTCCCTTCCGGTCTTATCTGAATGGTCCATAGTGCCTAGGACCAAACCCCACATGAAGATCCAGGGACAGCACTTGCCAGCTGAGTTATGCATTAAGGACAGGCTGGGCCAGGCTCAGCTCTGAGGTCCCTGCACTCTCATATGACTGTTTGCGTTACCTGATGTCTGACTATGCCTTCTCTGCTTACTTGCCTTCTGAAGGCCCCTATACAAAATTCTGTACAACCAGGGTTGCCTGGTGAGGGTGTGTAAGCAGGGTAATCCCTAAGGGATGGCAGTCTATAACTTTTTCTGGAAACCCCCATGACAAGACATGCTACCTTCAAGATGCCCTCCTTGATGCTTGGTCCCATTGTGTGCACAAGCTGAGCTGAGACACAAGGCAGCAATGTACTGCTTATCCTCTCTCCCCTGTAGCTACTTCCAGGAAATAATTGTGGCTTTAGGGGTGGCTTTAGCCCACTGGGGGACTCCAGCAATGAGGTTGTGGCTTAAACTGCTGCTCATTGTTGGTGCTTGGGTGAACATACCCGTATGAGACAAACAGGCTGGTATTTACTGTAGTAAGTGGTTCCTCTTGTTTCAGCTAGCGAGACTGGGCTGGGACAGCATGCGGGGGCTTGGGGTATTCATGTGCTGAGGCCTGCCTCTCCTCATCTCAGGACATCTTGAGCTCCCCTGCCAAGTCCTGAGCAACAGTCACACGTGTGCTGCGTCGTTGTTAGCACTCCTGAGATTTGCGTGTTCTGCTGTGTTACTCGTTTTTCTTCTCTCTCACCTTCTTCTCCTACAGCTGTTATGGCCTTTCTTTTTGACTTGAAAGATCTTGTGGACCTCATGTCCATCGGGACCCTCCTGGCTTACTCTTTGGTAGCAGCCTGTGTGTTGGTACTGAGGTAAGAATGTAGAAGCTGCCTTTCTTGTCACACTGGCAGAAATCCACACAGTGATCAGATGCCCTCATACTTTCTATAGGCCTACTAAAACATCTCCAGCTATAAGCATATGAAGAGCTTGTTTCTCTGAGCTCATGGGGGGCTGTGTTAGTTGTATCTACAGTGGGGTCCTCTGAACTTGGTTAACCCTTGGTCCATGCCACTCCTGCTGCGGTCAACTCTGAATGCCCTGGGAAATATGCCAATGGATAGGGATGAGAGATGTGTGGTCCTTGTTACCACTCTTGTTCTCACTGGGGATATACTTTCAGGTTGTCTTATTTTTGAAAGGGGGTTCAAGGTAAAGTCTAACAGCAGCAGCAGCAAAAAAGCTGAGCGTGTGTTTACAAGATCAGTGCCTCTGTGTCTTTTAGAAGTGCTGAGCTCCCATAGCTTCCCAAACCTAAGCTGAAAATTGAGTGTCTTCAGTGCTTGGCACCTCACAGATGACAGCACTCTACCAATGAAAACTGTACTATGAAGATCATGTTACTGAAAAATACCTTTGTGTGTTCAATGACTTATTCAAAGTCAGTTGGAGGCTTTCTACAAGCACACAGCATATGCACTGAACTAAGAAGAGTCTTGCAGCAGGTGAAGGACCAGTGCTGTACTGTAGTATCATTGCTTCATGTTTGTACTCTCCTCCCTGCCCCTTAAAAACTCTTGCCAATTTTCCTTGCCCTTGTTACTTTTCCTGATTTCCCAGCCCAGTCTTTTCCTCAGAGCTAGAAATAGCTTTTTAATTTTTTTTTGCCAGTTGCGGTACCTATTGCATGACATTTCCCCCATCACGGATTGGCAGAGCTGACAGCCTGTCTTGTAGTGGCTCAGGCAGCTGATTTGTCTGCCCTGTTGACTGCCTAATGATGTAGCAGGTGAATTGTTTTCAAAGCTATAAGATCCTGCTACTAGTTTCTTGCTGTGATTGGACCCAAGGATTTCACTGCATTTCTCAATTTGCAGTGTTTCACAAATGTCCTCGTTGTACACACGCCCCCATGGGAGCAGTTTTAAGGTCTTTCAAAATGGCCCAATCCTTTAGTTAGAATTTTAGGTGAGTCACAACACAAAACATTCTGTAACAAGAGAGCCGAGGCTGGAAGAGTGGTTTTTCTTTATGGATCCACATGGTTGTGTGTCACAGCCCTTTTGAATGTGCTGTTCACACAGGCAACAACCATCTCTTCCTTCCCTGTGTGGCAGCAGACAAGGTAGCAGAAGAGACTGGGATGGAGGAGTATGAGGCACCAGGAATGTCTCTGCTGGGTGTGATATCTGCTGAACTGTTAGCTCAACCACCTCCTTTCCAAAAGGCAAGAGCTGAACTGCCACTGATAACACAACAGCCTGGTTATGACTATCTATCTGTCCCTCTGTCACTTTCTTCTCCAGTCCTATCAACTCATCATGTTTCGGTGACAAGGATGACAGTGTTGACAGTGTTTATGAAAGAGCACTGTCCTCTTTAAAACACTTGACGTTACAACCAAGCTGTAGGTGATAAGAGCTGACCATATTTGCTTACATCATTATGATGTTATTTATCAAATATCCCTCTGAAAGAGAAGGGTGTAGACTTACATGGGCCTGTTCTGGTGCTGTAGTGATCTGGGGAGCAGCCATGACTATGCGTGTGGCTTTTAAATGAACCTGTGCCAAACTGAGTGGCTCTTTGTGTCATTTCCTTTTTCCTAGGTACCAGCCAGAGCAGCCTAATTTGGCATACCAAATGGCTAGGTCAACAGAGGAGACAGATAACAATGAGTCTGTGAGCACCAGTGAGTCACAGACTGGATTTTTGCCAGAGGAAGAGGAGAAGTGCTCCTTCAAAGCTGTACTGTTTCCCCCAAATTCGGACCCTTCCAAATTATCCGGCTCAGTGGTGAACATCTCAGCCTTCATCATTGGTAAGCACTGGGCAGTGTGTCTCTGGAGCACAGAGCTGGTAGGTCTTTGTACTCACTGTGGTGGGAAAACTCACCTCCTTGCTGTGATTTTCATGAGCTCTTGTAATGGCCAAAATAACTGAAGATCTACAGATTAAATTTCTGACTTGAAGAGAAATGCACAGATGGGGTTTGTGGGGGTGTATAGGGGGAAAGACATATCTGTTATGGTTAGTTTTGTAATGAGTTGCTGTTTTGTTTACCGACCTCTCAGATTCTGCTTGTGGTTTGTTGTTGGTTTTCTCCTGTATCTAAAAAAAAAATTCAGTAACCTTTGGTATCTGTTCACAGGTTTCTTTATTGTGTGCAGCTGTATCCTGACTGCCCTTATAACAAATATTGCAATATATGTATGGATTATTGGTGTCATCCTTGTTCTCATTGTCAGCTGCATTATATGGAAACAACCTGAAAGCAAAACTAAACTCTCCTTTAAGGTGAGTGTCCTGGGACGTGTAGCTAAAAAAGAGCTGTTCTGGGAGGTGCTTGGAGGAGGAAGTGCGTGTTGGCCTGTGGTCAGAAGGGTGGACCGAGCCAAATATAGGCATGATGTGAATGAACTTTTCTATCCAGGAGAAGCTGGAAGGGCAGAACCTGCTAGAGAGGTGTGGCTGAAAGGGAAGGGAAGGGCAGACTCTGCTTTTGAAAGCAGATGGTTATAAGATAGGGTAGAGACAGAGACTGGAGGAAAGGGGATAGTTGTGAAGGGCCACATCAGATCATGGATACAGAAGGAGAAAGAACCCAAGAAGCAAACTTGTGTGTGAGGATCAGAGGAGTACTCACTAAAAAACTCTAAGAAAGTGAACTTTCATGTCCTCCTTAGTCCCCATGGAGGCTAAGGGATGACCATTCTCTCTTTAACCACCTTAAGTGTGAGAAACTGTTGTTTTCCTGCCCTGTACAAGTACACCATCTTTTCAATATTAAACCAACACTGGGATGTTTTTTTCCCTCCAGTATAATCCTGCAAGTCGTGTTTTATTGTGTTGATTTCAGGCTAGTTCCCCAATTTATTAAATTAATTTTGGATTCTAATTCCATCCTCTAAACTGCTTTCATTGTGACTGCTTTTCAAATACAGTTTTTCAGTAAATTCACTGATTTTAATAACTTAATCCAGCCAGAGTTTTCCAAGGTAGTGTTTCCAGCTCATTTGAGTGTTATGGTCCCAGAAGTAGAAACAGAAATGTCCATGAGCAGAAAACTCAGGAACTCTTATCTAGGCTGTATTTTCTAAACTTGCTTCTGAGGAGGTCTCTTCACCTTTCACTGAAGGTATTTTACCTCCTTTTTTTCCCCTCAGCCACTAACTACCCTGTCCAAGAAAAAAGAAAATTAGACCTATCACTGCTAAATCTGTAATCATAGAATCATTTAGGTTGGAAAAGAACTTTAAGTTCGTCAAGTCCAACCATTAACCCAGCACTGCCAAGTCCACCACTAAACCGTGTCCCTCAGTGCCACATCTACACGTCTTTTAAATACCTCCAGGGATGGTGATTCCACCACTTCCCTGGGTAGCCTGACAACCCTGTTACTTATCTCCTTGCTGTTCTTTAGACATTCACAACCCAACTATGATTTTTCTCCTAAGTCACTCTGGAAATCCAAGGCTGACCTGTTTGTTCCCCAGTTGTTTTTCTGTATTTTTTAATAGATAGTTTTTCTCCCTTCTCCAGTCTTTAGACACCTTACAATTCTACCAAGAGCTCTCAGAGATGGTTATTAATAGTACAGAGATCACTACTGCAATATCTGGGTACATAACTCACCCACCTAGGGAAATTTTATTTGTCCTTACTGACTTGACAAAGCCAAATTTAGAAAAATATTCTTCTTTTCTTTTCTGATTTGTGTGCCTATCTCCTTTCTTTAGTGATGTGAGCAGCTGCTTACCGTAAGTTCTTTCTTTTTGGCAATGCTTAGATCAAGAAAGGCCCACAACATTTCAGCCTGTTTCTTTTTGTAAATCTTTTCCCTTAGAAGCGAAGTTCACTGTCCTCTTAGTTCCACCATATTCACAAAGCTTTCTATTGTTATAATTTCTCTTGTTTGATTTTATCTTTACATGCCAGTGCTATTTTTTTTATATTCTTATTTGGCATTTTGGCTTTACTATCTCATTCTTCTTTGACTCTCAGACCACTAAGGCATTCTTGGCACAGCTGCAGTCATCTCTTGCAATATTTGCTGATTTTCTTCTGCTTTGGGATAATTTTCTCTCTATTGCTAAATTACCTTGGTATCTGTTGAATGAAGTTCCTTAGATCCCTCCTCTGACATTCCCCTTACCTTCCTCTCTTGCTCTTCAATAGGTGCCTCTCCTTGGTTTTTCCTCTTCTCTCCTTCACCCCACAAAATTCTCCTCCTTGCTAAAATTCACCTCTTGCCTCCTTACAGATGACAAAACAAGCTTCTTAAAACAGATGAACAGCATTGTTTACATCCCGCTTCCATGGTGGACTGATGTCCTCCTTTTGGGTTTAACCTTGCTTTTTCTCAGATTTGGCAGCTGAAGATTTGGTAACAACCATCACTTCCCATTTACAAAGAATGTGATGTTCTTTCCTGCCCACTGTTCCGTCCCTGTGGATGTAACGTATCCCTCATTCTTTTTCAGGTACCTCTTTTGCCCTTTCTTCCTGTTGTGAGTATTTTTGTGAATGTTTACCTCATGATGCAGCTAGACGTAGGCACATGGATACGGTTTGCAGTCTGGATGCTCCTAGGTGAGTTAGAGAGTAAAAAATGCTGTGTTCAAAGTTACTGGGTTTTGTTAACCAGAAATTTATTGTAGCATTCCAGGGAGGGATTCTGAATTCTGATCATCCCTGGGCAACCCTGGTGACTTCACTAAAGCCATTTAGGCAGTCTCAAGCTTTGTTTCAAATTCAAGGGTCTTGAAGCCTTTGTGAGGACAGCATAACGACCCATGAACCATCTTATGGGTCTTATTGCCAACAAGAAACCATAGAGCATTTTTTGTTGGCTGGCCACATGCTGTCCACGTGGTGGGGCTTATGGTTTTGGAGCTGAAGAAGCTGAGCTATATCCCAAGATGTTCCCAGTAGCCATGTGGATAAGGCTGAATTGCCTGAAATGCTCAAATGAGCACCCCATTTGGGGCTGGGATAAATTGGGCTTTTTTTTCCCTAAGGATGGTAGTAGCTGTCCACGAGAAGCTAACGATCAGGATGACTGGGCTTACACTGGTGTAACTTGTGTCAGTGGGTGTGAGTAGGGTTTTCTGTTTCCTTACAGAGCTAATGGTAACCTCTCCCCTTGGCTTCCACAGGCTTTATCATCTACTTTGCCTATGGAATACGGCATAGCGTGGAAGCCACCTACGCAGCGTCAGGAGATGTGGAGAGAAACACAGATGCTGGCTCAGGCAGCTGTAAATGACTGTGTTTGGCTTACGGGCAACTGGTAGCTGCAGTGAAAGAAGCTTTGTGGTGGGGATCCTGAATCAGATTGCACCTGATCAATCAGTAATGCAGGAATAAGAAAGCCTAATGCAGGCCTCCCCAACCCTTTTGCTGCAGCTTGCGGTTTGTTTAGTAGCACAGTTAAAAGGGATCACAAGGAAAAAAGACATATCTCTGGAATACTCCTGGCGGCACTGTCAGCTCACCTGGGGCTATGTGCTTCCCTCTCTCCTGTTTTGTTTTTTTCCCTAGTATGTAGAAAGAGAACTGCTTCTGTGTGCCAGTTAACCTTAAATGCTGCTATGAAACCAAGCCTCACAAAGGTCTTTCTCAGTAGCCCTGAGAATTACCTCCCCACAGATACTCTACCTGATTATACATGGAGCAGATTTTGCAGTGCTACTGTCAAGTGTAGACCAGATCCATCCTTCACCCTATGTGACCCCTACCCCACGTGTACGCACAAAAAAAGGCTTTCGCCAAACACCAGATTTCACTGGGTTAAGAAAGCACCTGCAAGATTTTAATTCTTTAAATTATTAGGTCTCATAGTTTTTGTTGTATTTAACTTGTTCTTTTAACTACTTACTCATATGATTTAAAGCACACCACTGCTGTGAAATGTTGGGAAGGTTTGTGGTTGCTGTTTGTCAGGTGAACGGTCACTTGCCAGCACACAGGGAATGCCAGTATATATTGCTGCTGCCTGTACACTCCACAGAAGGATTGCCAGGTTTAGTGAGGAAACTGTGTGGTGCAAGTACTTGAAAGGCTTGAAAGGAATGGGTGCCTCCAAAGAGACGTCCTACCTCTTTGCCTTGGAAATCACCGGTGTGGCTGCAGTGGTGGGGTGGCTGGCAGAAGTAAGTCCAGCTCTGACAGCAAGTGGAGTCCTGTTTTCCTCTCCCTGCATCAGTTCTGTGTGCTGGCCACGTGGCATTAGCAAAGGATTTGGCTGTGATACTTCCATTTGGTGTTGGTGGGAGGAACACGTTTCTGCCTTGGGAAGGGAAGCACAGAAGAATCCTCAGGGTCATGGAGTTCATTCATGAGCAGTGGTGGTGTCTGCCCCCTGCCCAGGGGAGGCTGTGGGGAGGTGCAGGGGCTTCTCAAGTCCCAGCAGAGCATGCAGCCCAGAAAACACCGCTAAGCTCTAGGGTCTGACTTGCTTGAGGGGAACTTTCCATTTGGGGCTGGAGATCATCTCCAGAGCCTGGCTGTGAAAGGTTGGAAATTTGGAGTTGAGACCAGGGGCTGTGTTTCATTGGCAATGCCTTGGTTTTGCTGCAAGATGGTGTTTGTTTTTTAAAATTCTCTCTAATAGCTTTCCCCAGCCAAATTCATCCACTACCCTAAAAAAGGCTTGTTAAAGCATCATGAAGGTGGGCCATGCCCATGTAATGCCACTGATTTAAATTCATGCTTCAACTTGTACTGAAAAACAAATCATAGAATCATGGAATGGTTTGGGTTGGAAGGGACCTTTTGAAGATCATCTAGTCCAACCTCATGAGACCCCTGGTGGCCTAGTGGTTAGCGTGCAGGACTTTCACTGCTGCGACCACGGGTTCGATTCCCCGGTCTCCTGGCCTGATGGAGGTCGTTAGCCCTGTGTGGCCATCCATCTATGAGAAGGACACTCTAAACAAACCTACGTCCTGAGGACCTCACTGCCATTGTCCAAGCTTGCTTGGCCCCGGCAGATGAACCTTAGGATTAAAGGGTGGGCTCAGTTCAGCGCAGGCTGTGTCTCACCTAAAAAAATCCATTGCGCAGGCTGGAAAGGTAAAAAGACCTTTCCCCAAATCTTCGTTCGCGAAGATGGGCCATTATTATTATTAGTCCAACCTCCCTTCTGTGGGCAAGGACATATTTCACTAGATGAGATTGCTCAAAACCCAGACCTCAAATGCTTCCAGGGATGGAGCATCCCAAACAGATACTGCGGAAACCCCCTTTCCTGACTGAGTGGATGCTTTCCTAGGTGGCCTCCGTACTACTGTCTCTGAACACTGGACAATCTTTAATCTGTTTGTCAGCATGGCTCTTGCTGATGAAGCGACAGGCTCTTGTCCCCATCATTCAGTTGGAGAACTGAAGAACGGACCCCTGCATGACTTGCCCAGGGTCTCACCGGGCATCTGGTGCAGTAGAAAGGAGAATCAGACAACTTCCTGGATTATGTGGCCAGACTGTGGACCATCTCTCACGTTTCCAAGAAAGACTTTGTAGCCTTTCTGTCCACTGAGGAGTTTTAATCTTGGCTTCTTTCTAGTGCACTGGGAGGCTCTTCTTGGCAGGATTGGAATTTGAGGGAGTGAAGGCAATGTGTTCATTGCTTCCCAGGTGCACTTCAGGGTGTGTTTTGAGTGCAGTTTCCCCCCAAAAATGAAGTTGGGGTCTGCTCCAGTCAGTGGGTCTTGACCATCTGCCAAGCCTTTGCACCTTATGCATATACAAAGTCTTACTCAAGCAGGGAGAGATGAATATAGAAATTAGAAGCCACTATGTTGAAATCTATTTTGTTTAAACACAGGCAAGGTCAACGCACTCCACAGCCTCCCAAAGACACTGAAGATGTGGTGAGAGGCAAGAAGATGAAAACTCAGAGGGGAGCAAAGTTTCCTATTGTACTAAAAATGTAAGGATGTTTTTCTGTACCTGGGTACCAGCTTCTAAACAATTATAGCATTAAGCAATGACCATTTAGGGGTGAATTCTGACTGGAAGTGTGTTTCCAAAGAAAATTATTTTAACATATACAGATTTCTTGCTGTATGTAAAATTTTTTTATGTAAGTGTTAACTTATTTGTGTTGTCTGCTTAGAGATCTGTTCTGGTTTTTATATTCCATTACTTTGTTTCAGCTTTTGTAACATATAATAGCAACACGTAGAAGAAGAGAAAGTCCTGATGGGGGCCATTTTTCTTCAGTTGCTGTTTCTCTGAGAAGGTTCATAGGAAAACCATTCTGTGTCAACAGATTTGATATTTAAATGTGTCCTTAATTGTACCAGCCCCAGAGTCACATGCCATAAATTTGCTGGTAGAGGTGAGAGTCTTTAGCTCTGTCTCCCACTGCTCCATCATGACTTCTTCAACCCATCAGTTCCCTGGTGGTGAGTGCTGCTGTTGCTCTTGTTTGTTGTTGCTACTCATCAGATACAAGGAGGTGGAGGGAATCTGCAGCCCTGCAGAGTGACTGGGAAGTGCAGGTGTCTCTCTGGCTCTCTGTGTACCTGCTTCTCCTGTGTCCAGCTGGACACGGGGACCTCCTGGCCTCCTCTTCACATGTTTTGACCCAGGGAGTGGACTGGTGAGGAGGTGATGAGTTTGACACAGCTGCATACTTCTGCCTCATCTTCTCCTGCCTGCATCTACCCCTTGCTTGTTCATTTTTTTAAGCTAAAAGGCAAGTCTGACTGCCTCTTTCCAGGACAAAGTCAAGGACTTTGCTGAATAGAGGGTTTTTTACTATTTTATGGGGTTTTGCCATCTTCTGCCTCCCTGCTAATGTGTGCATGTAACATAGATCAAGCCAAGTATCTTTGGAGTCATGCAACTGCTGCTATAACCTTGCTGTTGTGGATGATACATTTTCATTCATTTGAGCTTTCCTTTGTGAATAGTTTAATCATAATTTTATGATGCAAATATTTTGTAGAGCATTTTGTTGCATGAAGAGTTGGGAATGGAGAAGCAATGCCTTTGCTTGGCACAAAAATAGATCCTGGCATGCTTGATATTTAGGGGCAGGCTCTGGCCCAAAAGAGTGACCTTGTTTCAGCATATTTGGTTGCTCCCAGTCTGCTCACTTGAAGTTTCCTTCTGGGAAAGCTGTTGGAAGGGTCCTACTGACTGCTGGTGCATGGTGGGCAGAGGTTGGCAGCACTGAGGCTGCAACTCGCAGTTATATAGCAAGTCTGAGTATGTAGCCAGCCAGCCCTTCTCAATGGAAAATTACTGTCAAAACAGTTTTCCTTCCCCCCCCCAAAACAAAGAAATTTTTTTGGTTCAAAAATGACTAGCTTTTGATTACTTGCTTACAATTTTCATTCTTTTGTCACTGAAAGTCATTACTGACTGGTTTTCAACTTCACTTTACCCTTTTCTCATCCCTCAGGGTGGAGTTTGATGCTTTTCTGGGCAGAGTGTGCCTGTGCTGGGAGTCGAACAGCTTTGCTGCCTGAGGGGGTATGGGGCTGCCCCCCCCCCCGTAATGTTTGGCCATCGTGGGGGCTGGGGTGTGCTGCAAGCAGACTGCTTCTGGTTCAGAGCCATATGTGCTTGGTCACAGCAGGGGAGAGGGGGCTGAAAGGAAACACACTGGTGGAACTGCTGCTGGTACTGACACCACACACTGCTGTTTACTGCCAGGGTTTTAGAAGGGTAAAGTTTTAGCTGGCAGTGCCTGCCATAGATGGTCTTACTCTTCGTCCATTCCACAAAAACAAGCTCCTATTCCTGGTGTAAAAAATCTGGCTAAATTTAATATATTAGAAGTCACATTTTAAAATGCAACCTATCAGAGATACGTCTCAGTGAAGTGAAAGATCTGTTCTGCAGCTGGGAAGGGTTTATCAAGAAGAAAACAGCCACTGTGGTAAATGATAAGGAATGTAGCAGGGACCACCAGCTCAGCCCCAGGTGTGTTGGCAAGCACTGCAGAGGGGCTGTTCACCGTGGCCCAGGTTCGATTCCCGGTCAGGGATACTCCCCCGGGAAGGTCACTAAACAAACCTACGTCCTGAGGACCTCACTGCCATTGTCCAAGCTCGCTTGGCCCTGGCAGATGAACCTTAGGATTAAAGGGTGGGCTCAGTTCAGCACATGCTGTGTCTCACCTAAAAAATCCATTGCGCAGGCTTGAAAGGTAAAAGACCTTTCCCAAAATCTTCGTTCGCGAAGACTGGCCATACTATTCCTGGTGTACAGAGAGTGCCTGTTACTGCCTGCTGCCTCCGTTCCTACTTATTCAGAGACCAGAAAGTGATATGATAGAATATTATGTTTATATTTGTAAAATCTGCTTCTTTAGTGATTGCATTTTATATACTAATGAATTCCAGTGAAAATTCTTAAATCCACCGCTGAGGAAAGCCACGTACAAGTAAACATTGCTGTCATCTGCCCAAATGAAGGAAGAGCGACAGGCAGGTCTGGCAGGTGTGAGGGGCTTGCATTGACAGGGAGGAGCAGGAACGAGGCTGGTTTTCATGCAGCAGGCTCCCCTGAAATCCCTTCCCTACATGCATCTCAACACCCTCCCCTTTCAAAGCAAACCTCTTCCCTATGGCAAAAAAAGCATCTCTTCCTAAAGCCTTGGATAACCTTGCGATGTTTGCTGGGATTGACTTTCCAAGCAGGTCTTATTTCTTCCTTCTCTTTGTGAAAAATTTGCACTTGTTCAAGGCTAAATCTATACATACACAGTGAACTGATGCTTTCTCCTCATAGCCACCTCACCTTTATGCAGGGCTGCCAGCCTGATGTGGGATGCCAGCCTGCCTGCATCCCAAAAGCAAGCTGAAGGCAAGGCTGCCTCGATGGTGCCATATCAGTTGTGCTGCCTGTTGCCACTCGTCTTGTGGTTTATCATTCATTTCCCATTCCAGCAGCAAT